TCCCCCGGCCTCATGTGGGCGAGAAGACGCTCATTTCACCACCACCGTTTTTTCTGTCTCGCCGATCTAAGTGAAGCAGCCATTTACGAATTCTCGCGCTTTCTGAACCTAACCAACTGGTTTCACCTCTAGGTAAACGGACGGCTTCGAATTCGGGCTCTTAATTGGTATCACAACATACCCATCGGGTCTAAGTGTGCCTCTCTCCCATGAGGAATGTAGGCAGCCGCTTCAACCTAACCTAGGAAACCCTACAAAAAAAAAAAAAAAAACTGACCAATTCACATAACCTCTACGAGAGATAACCATACCCAACAAATCGTTCATGCAGAATGTGCTTAATGGCGTCCGCTGTGTGGTATCATGGTAGTTTGATGAAGTGACTGATATAGGTAACACGAAAATTACATCGCCGCCAGCGAGCACCGAAATCTACCCGCGCCAATTCACTCATAGCTTCAAAGTTATTGCAGAAAAAAACTGAAACCAGCTCAAAATACACGCAAGAGTTTCACACAACATTCACTGAAAACCTGAAGGCCTCAACCAGTTCAATGTCCTGTCGCATTACTTTAAATAATATGTCTATTAAATACTGTATTTATTTTAATAACTTTATACTTTTGCTTCAAAACTTTTACTTTACACTAAATTTGTGTAGTTGTTTTTAGGAGCATCTCTATAAGCACTAAAAACAAAAACATTTCATTTAACTGAATTTAAATTACTCTTCTTGTGGGATATTTTTTTTTTTTAGAAAATTCTCGCGTTTTAACTTTAGCAAGCCACTTTAACCCAGAATCAAAATATCTTAATTTTTACGTACCTCATTTTATCGTAATTTCAAATCGCAAATTTTATGTTTTTCTCGACTTTTTGTGTGGGGCTTACGCATTGTTTTTATTTTTTGCTTTCTTCTAAATTTGAAATACTCAAATGCATAAAATTCAATACATTTATGTCATAGGCAATTTCTCTTTGAATTTCCATCACTTAACGTCTCTATAATGCGCTCGGGGTATTTTGTTCTAATCTAACAAATTAAATAATATACTATAAATGATGACAATAATACATATGTAGGTAATAAATTCATTATTTTCAGTATTTTTCGTTTTTTTTTTGTAGCATTTTCGAGAACACCTTACATAAAATATTTAAGTAAATCATCTATTTTTATTATTATTATATTTTGTATAACCGGTCTGCTTTGTTTAATTAAATTTTTAATTTATTCTTGTTACGGTTTCTTTGACACTTTTGTTGTTGTTGTTGTTGTTGTTGTTGTAGTTTACTTTGTTTTAGTTTATTTTTTGTTTCATTTGGTTTAAGTATTTTCGTACAATTAGATAAGGCAACGTCATTTGTTCTGTTTTTGTAAACATTATTTTTTGTTGTTTGATCTGAAATCTTATTTCTCGGAATATCTGAATTTTGAAAATTTTCATTGAATTACTAATTCTCATCGAATTGTTTTGTAAACTGCATTTTGGGCTATTGCTTGGTGAGTGTGTGTGTGTGAGAGAGTTTGTTGTTGCGTTAATCGGATTTCGTTTATGCCGCCAGACTTGCACAATCTATTTCAGTATTTTTTGTTATACATTTTGAATAATACATTTTGTTTTCCAAACAAAAACATTTAGTACATATAATGATAATTGCCAAACACGTAAATTTTGACTCCTAAAAACAACAAAAATGTTTATCATATATTTTTTTTGCATCTTGCTTCCATGAAATTCATTTTTTGCATTAGTTGCAAAATTTTTCCATTTTTGATTTTTTGACGTCGAAATATTAATTGTAATTTACATTTAATTTGATAGTAAATTACTAAGTTTAGAAAATCGTATAATTTTGTATTTTCTTGTATGTAGTATATTCATAGTTGGTTGTGGTAACTGTTAATTTTGTGGCCGAAAAATGAATGCAGTTTATTGCGAGTTGTGAGTTTTTTTTTGGTAAATTGGAGGGAAATTCAAAAAAAAAGTTATAAAAATAAATTAGGCAATATGTGAAATACTATAAATGAATTAGGGTGGTTCACAAAAAAGTATGAAAATCCAAATTATGTATGCGGCACCCATTTATTTTGTCCAAAATAATGACTAACACGAAAATTTCTAAATTTATGAAAAAATGTTTAGGGCCCGCTTCCAAGGTTTGAGGAAATTGAAATCGCATTAAGTTTATATACATGAAAAAAAATCATATACATATATCGTGGCCATTGGTAAAGGATTCATCGTGATTGCATGCTCCAAAAACCGTAACTTGTTTAAATTTTTTCGGAATTAGTGATGTCTCGATACTTGTACTTGCATACTCGATACTTTTTCGAGTTCGGTACTTGGTATCGACACTTCGCTATAAGTATCGATCACCGTAAATTGATTCCACAATGTCAAAGTACGCCCTGTTAATTTCAATCTGCCGTTATTTTCTTGTGTCACTTTGCTTGTCACTGCTGCGTTTGATTGATTTTGAAAAGTTCGAAATTTTTGCAGTGTCCCTAATATCTTCTGCTCGGAAAACATTTCGAAAAAGTTGACTCCAATAAACTTGCAGTGCAACAAATTGCATCATCTAGTCCTTGCGAAAGAATTTTCTTGAAAGCAGAAATACAGTAAAGACACAGAAAATAAACCGTCTATCAGACTTATTTTTTTTGCTAGCTATGGTAATACAAGAAATGTAAAAATGTTAATTTTTGTGCATTTTTGTTTGTTAAGCTCAAACTATATTAAAAAAGGAATTTTCGTTCATTAATATCAATAAAAATCTTGACTGATCTTTATAATTTAAATTTCTTACTCGATACTTGAAAAGGCACGATATTTTCTACCGACATTTTTTCAGTTCTCGATACTTTGTTCCGATACCAGAAACAAGTAAAACTATCGATACCAAGGTGGTATCGAATAATCACTATTTGGAATTTTTTACTATATATAAAAAAAAATAATAATTAATAATAATTATTTTTTAAATTTTAACCAAAAAAAAAATGAACAAGTTGTAATCGTCGTAAAACAATTTTATTTATACACACGTATTTGTTTTCGTACGTCCCACTGTAATTTGCAATGATTTTTTTCGAGTTTAACCAATAAAGATTAAAAGTAATAATTAATAATTGAGTTTTAATTTTTCGCACAAAAGTAACTATTATTTCGCTCGAAGAAAATAATTATTACTGAGTAAAAAGCTATACCAGCGCGATTTCCGCCGTATGCTTTTCAGCGGTAACGGCACCCTAATAAAGGAATAAGTCTCAAAATTTTCAAGTCAAAATTTCAGTAAGTTGCGTCTGTATAGCCTTTTCAATTTTATGAATAATCGTTATTTTTAAGTGGAAAAATAAAACTCAATAATAATTATTATCTCTGAGCGAAAAAATAGAAATCATAAAATAATCATTATTCGGGATTGAAAAAAAAATAAAACTCAATTATAATTAATATTTAAGAGCGAAAAAAATAAAATTCAAAGAGTAATGATTAAATGCTGATTTATATTATTTTGCTCATAATGATTACCGGGACGGTTTATAACTAATTATTTCAAAAAAAATACAACAAGGGAGGTAGAGGGGAGAGTTAGTTAGCATGGAGTTCCTGAGTGTAAAACGCATTTTTTTTAAATCATTTTCCAATGATCACAAAACATTGCAAAACTAATTTTTCAAAAACCTGGTTGCGACCACTAAAAATTATGTTAAAAATTTGAAATTTTCGTGATGTCTTTATTTGGTATGAAGAACAAAAGAAATGTATGGTTCATAAAAAATTTAGATATTGCAAGGACCACCCTAATATACATACATATGTACATACATATGCATGTAACGAGCAAAATATAGATACATTAACAGACCCAGCGATAAGTTTTAAAAAGAAAATTAAAACAAAAATCACTTCACGGCTAATCTGCTATGAGGGAAATCTTAAAATTCCCAGGTTTTAACAACACGCTTCAGCTAAAGTTAAATTTTAAAAATTTATGAAAAAAGAAACGCACAAATGATAATTATATATAACTTAATTGAAGAGACAAAAAAGGAAGGACTTAAAGCTCTTTTGGTGTTTTCAAAAAGAATCTTCAAGGTCATTGAAAATTCATCACCGGACGATATCTTGCACTGTAGTCATTTCTTTTTGAATACTGCGAGATAAGTATAAAAAAATAACTCGTTTTGCGGGACACAGCGGGGCCCAGGGAATTGGAAAAATTATAAACCCACAGACCCATCCTACGAAAAACGAAACGCTCGATATTGTATGTTAGACATAATTGGCTTATTGGAATAAAGTTCTTGTACAGAATATGGATGGTAAAATGATGCTGACAACGCGTAAACGTGATTTAAAAGTAAATATAGAGCATTAAAGTAAAGGCAATTTTCTTGATATCATTGCTCTTTTAGCTAACGACGACTTCTTACGTACTATAACCACACAAAATGCCCAAAAATACCTAAACATAAAAAAGAGATTATATTGGCTGGATCCGTTTAAAATAGTGAAAATAATTTGATATAAATTTAACATTAAAATATAAAATAAAACGATATTTTGATATTTTGAACTGAACAAGTTTTTATTGAAAATCATAAGAACACATAAACTTATTTAAAATTGAACAAAATTGAGTTTCTAAAACATACAAATAAGCAAACTTAATATTCAATATGGCATTAAATAAACATCTAACACAGTAAAAATTATATAGTTAAATTTTTTTAGTAAAAAAGGCATACCAACTCATTAATATCTTTAATATTTAATAAAAAGCTAGATAAGTTATAGAGCAAGTAGGTAACTATAAAAAAATATAAATTTGTTTAAAAAATTGCTTAAATTCCATTCACATCAGCATTTTCGTGTATGTAGATAATATATATATATATTTATATATTTTAATAAACGGTATAAATTGTATGTGTATGCATACCATTGTTTCTTCATACTACTTATTTTGTTTTCTTGTTTCTATTCAATTTTTTTTCTTATTTCTTTATTTTTTTTTACTTTCTTAATTTTATACTTGTCGTTCAATATATGTTTTGTAATTTTCGCATGCGATTGTTTGCTTTCTCAATTATTTTTATTCTTTAATGAAACTTCCGCTTTTTACCGCCACGCTTTTTACCCTTACCCTTCAATTTGCGTTTTTTGCTGCCACCAGTCGAAGCTTCACCACGTAACGCCGGATCGCGACTAATCTCACCAAGTATCTCATCGCCAAGAGTACCTAAAAGAAGCAGAGAAATGTTGAATTAAAATGAAATCAGCTGCACTAAAATGCAAGTTGGTAATTCATGCTAAATTTTGCACACTCACCTAGCGTAGTCAACTTGCGTTGACGATGCTTTTCCGCTTTAGTCACCGGCAGGCGTGTCAAATAGGTTTCTTCATATTCCTGTTTTTCTTTTTGCTGCTTGGAGAGCAACTGTTGTGCGCGCGAGCCAGACGAAAGTTCCGTGGGTGCATCGAGATACTCCTCCTTTAGATCTTGTAGCATTGAGGCCCTTCAAAAGGTAGCATTACGTTAGTAAATAACTCTTTTTACAGAAAACATAAAGTGCAAAATACAAAATTGTCCAACAACTTACGTAATCGCACGCTTCTTGGCACGCTCAATCATTTTCTTATCCTTATCAGCGGACTTCTCATCGCCATCATAGTAGACTGGCTTAATTTTAGGCGGCACATATATGCCAGATTTACCCGCAGTAGCACCTTTCTTCGGTTTCTTGACGCCAGTCTCACCCTCGTCGTCTTCATCATCACTTTCTGATTCGGAATTTTCTGTAGCATCTTCAATATCATCCACAGCATTCTCCTCACCGCCAGCGTTTGTAAGCATATTATCGGGATTGGGCTTATGGCATTGTAAATTAGTATTTATTATAAACTTAATCAATTGGTTTTAACTTACCTTATATAAAATTGGATCGGAACTACTCGATACTCCTGTGGTGGCTGTCTTCACCAATTTATCAATTTGATAGCGCAGCTTGTGATCGATGGGTCGTATCTTCTCCAATACCGTGCGTATTTCAATGAGTCGCTCAATGGATGGATCTCCTTCGATGGTTTCGCCGGAACATTTCCGCAAAACAACATATGTAAGATTTATCAAATAATCGAGTAGCATGTGATACTTGACCTCGAGAAAGCTTAGGCCATATTCTGTTGTTAGTTCTCCACGTTTTACACGCTGCAGCATGCTCTCTACCAGATCGGTGACTTGCTTAACATTGCTGTTCATTTCACCGAGCAGCTGTATGGCCTGTGGAATATCCTGTTGCTGCACATGGCAGTCGTAGTCGAGTGCCTGTAAATGGCAGAGGGGAGAAAAATTAACTTACTTTTGTAATATATTTTGTCATAAGAAATTTCTCTTTTAGCATCTGTCCGTTGGCAAACACCGTTCTCTTTCACTCCATCTGCTGCTTCAATCTCGAGTCCATACATTCTATAGAAACAACAAACATTACTCTGTCACCTTTTACTCTTCATGTACATACATACGTATTTTTGAGATTTATCGCATCTCCAATTTGAATATCTGGCTCTCAAATATACTTTCAAATTTTGTCTTATAGCTATAATTCATACTTCAAATACATACTCGCATACCACTTTCATGATCGAATTTTTTCACAATTTGAAAATACTCGTTCATATACATATATAAATACCACAAAAAAAAAGTTCGCCGTACACTCCTGAGTCCCAAGTAGAGATGGGTGCGGGACTTACTATTAAATCCCGCTCCTGCCCATCCCGACATTAAATTTTTAGGTCCCGAACCCTTGCTTCTCGAGGTTTTTCAGATTTGTACTGTCCCGTGAGACCTGATATACCATCCCTAGTTTGAAGTATTTTTGCAATGCAATTTCGAAAAAAAAGATTTTTTGGCCGAACGCCCATGACATCTGGCGTTTTTTATAATACGGTTTTACCACGGCTAGGGATGAAACAATACGAGTAAATATATATGTACTTACTCGATACTTCAATCGATACCAAGTAATTTTGGCATCGGTACTTTTGAACTAAGTACTAAGTAGGTATCGAAAAACAAATACTCGTATCGTACCTAGTGGGAGGCTAGCTCTGTTATTGAAGAAAATAAACAAAAAAAAAAGCTTACAAGAGTTGATTAAAAAAAAATCTTGAAAAAAAAATTAAATATTCCAGAAAGCTTAAACGCCAACTTCGCATATAGTTTGGAGAAAAGTAGATGTCAAATAGATAAATTATTCTATTTCTCGGTATCTAGATACTAGAAAATTTTTCATATTTTAAATGCTTTTAAGAATTTCTTTTAGTAAAATTTCTGTAGGTGGAATTCAACCAGGTGTAGTAAGTAAGAAACATTTACCTTGTTTATACCTACGAAAAAAACCGCATTAACAAAAAACCGATTTGACTTAACACATATCTCTTTCAAGCGCTTATACCTGTGTCGTTATAGGTACTCGCTGAAACCGTATTCAAAAGTCAACAAAATTTATTGTTATTATTCGATGAGAACAAGAATTCTAATTTGTTATAATAACAATTCAAATTTAAAATGGACTGCATAAGAAAAAACAGCNTCCGACGAATTGATTACCTTCTCCTTTTTTTGAAGTCGCTTAAAAGGCGATATGAAAACAAATTTGAGTCAATATACTTTTGAATTTGGTTTATGTTTCGCTTTATGTGTCAGTATAAATTATTTCGAAACTATCGTATTTAAATTTTGGCTCATAATTTGTGTAAATAATAGTACATTTCCATTGCACTGAAATCTTTGGAAAACTTCTATTCTTGGGAAGTATAACAAAAATAGACCTTTATGAGGAAATTCTTTTCTTAGCGGAGATTAAATTTCTTGAAATCTTTTCCAATGAATTGTCTCTGATAAATACCATTGATCATTATGGGATGAACGCACTATTATTAACCGACTTCACAAATAGGAGAAGGTTATCAATTCGTCGGAATATTATACATTTTTTTGTTTCTGTATGACCGCATAACTTTGGACCACGTCAACCGATTCCTATAAAATATTTTTTTAAAGGAAAGGTGTTACCTCACAGGTGATTCCATACTAATTTGGTTTAAATCCGATCATTGGATCATGAAAAAATTAAATCATAAATTTGTATGTGAGAATTCGGTTTTGTTTTTAACCGACTTCAATAAAGGAGAAGGTTATCAATTCGTTGGAATATTTTTTTATTTTTACTTATTTTTTTGTCTGTATGGCCGCTTAACTTTGGATCACGTTAACCGATTTCGATAATTCTTTGGTTTAAATCCGATCATTGGTCCATGAAGAAATTAACGATAATCTTAAATTTGTATGAGAATTGAAGACGGTTTTTTTGCTTTAAATTACTTGTTTTTTTCTACAAACCTCAGATATACGTACATATGTATGAGAATTGAAGACGTTTTTTTTTGCTTAAAAATTACTTGTTTTTTTCTACAAACCTCAGATATACGTACATATGTATGTATGTGTAACGAGTACAGAAAATAATTTACACCAATATTCATTCAATGTAATTTTAAAATGACATTAGCTCATATTTTTGTTTAAAAATAATGTTTTGTCGAGGTTTTCACCAAGCAGTCGTGTACGTCTTTCTTCTAGAATTCTGCACGACGCAGAAAAAACTCTTTCACTAGTTGCTGAGCTAGCTGGTATGTGTAAAATTTGCTTTGATAAGCTTCTAAGAGGTGGAAAATCTTTCTCCCAAAATTTTAAAATATCATCACAACTTTTGTTTTCTGATGTTTTCAAATAAATCTGTATTACCGCATTAATTTCTTCAAAAACTGTTTCTGCAGACTCATATGTTGTACCTTTGACTTCGTTAGATGTGTATACAGTAAATAAGTTAAACAATAGTAGTTTACGGTTTTATTTTGGTTGATAATACATATATCGTCGCTTGGCGAGCAAAATCCTCATATCCCCCAAATGCAATACCACGTATAAGATAGTCCGAAAATTTCAAAAAAGTGCGAAGAAACTTATTTCTTTAAAAACTTTTGAATGGTTTCCTAACTAAACATATTAAATATGAGCTTCTACTATAATTATTTACTATTAAATTTGTGAAGTAGGGAAGCGTTGAAACAGGGTAATCAAAATACGTTTTTTTTTCTATACCGCCTCGTTGTACTGCGAGGTATTGCGCGCCAAACGACGATATATACATACATCATATGAGCACTAAACGTCAAAAAGATGTAAGCGACATTTCTTTTTTTTTAATTTTTAAATTTGACGCAGAAATGCATCTGATGCTCTAGGTACATTACTGCAACAAAAAAATGAAATTTTGAAAAAAAATGCCGCTTACATCTTTTTGGCGGTTAGGGCTCAATATGTGAAAATTACGTGATGGACGGAAAATCTAACTCACGCACGCACGCTCACGCCAGCCAAAGTTTCAGTCACGCACGATCACGGAAGTTACGTGATTTTTCTATCCAAACCACTTACGCTCACGCATGAAAACCCGTGTCACGTAGAAAATCACGTGTTTTGTTTATACTAAATAGAGAAACTGTAGTTTTCGTACTCACAAAAAGTGCCAGTTGTGATTTGTGAACTGGTTTCGATAAACTTCTGATAAAACTTAGAGACGACAGCAATTTGTTCGTAATTCGCATGGTAATTGGATCTGAATTACCAACAAATGAGGTAATTCGCTCTCAAAATTTTGTATGTATGCATGTATTAGACTCGGTCAGAATCACCAATAGCGCCATATAAGAAGTATGCCGATTTCTTTTTGAATTCAGTAACTTTTGTGATGATATTGGTAACAAATAAAAAAAATCGTTGTGGCAACACTGGTATAATACAAACACATTGAATGCTATTTACATTTATTTATTTTATTTGGCGAAATATACAATCCATTTAATTTGGAGATATTCACTTACTGGTTTTTACTGACATTTTTTGGTAATCAGTTGATAGCTATTTTTAATAATCATACTTTATTGGCATATTTTAATAAATAATATTTTCCCTCAAAGTTATTATATATACGTTTGCAATCATTTTAATCTTTTTTTTTTGACAAAACGTATCAAATATGCGTAAAAACATTTTTCATTACAAAATAACGATAATAATTAATTGGGAAAATTTTACGCTCTGATAATTTAAGCAATGCTTATATGCAAAACATCTAATTAATGCGCATGCAATGCGAATTTATTTTTTTGGCTTCAATGCAATGCAGCGCTACATTCATGCATAATTTTTTAATCATTAGTTGCTAATCTAATGGCTCTTTCGATGCGTAAATTGCAATAAATTATTATAGCAATCTAATGAGTAGTTAAAAAAAAAAAAAAAAAAACAAAATTACGAAAATGCGCTGTGACTTAAAAAATTTAAATAATATTTTGCGTTAATTGCATTTCGCTTGTCGGGCACAAAATTTGCATATAACATGAAATGAAATAATTCAAGTGAAAATAAAAACCAGCTAAACCGCATAAATAATAATAATATTGGAAAAAAATAATGTTTTGCTAAAATGGTTGCAATTTCACAACGACACCGCAGAGTCGCGAATATCCTGGCATTTGAGTGCGGTTTATTAATATTCATTGGCGAGAAATTTGGCAAAAAAAAAAGAGCAAAAAAAAACCTAACACCAGCATTTTGTGCACCCAAAAGCCTTATTAGGCATTTAAATACACATTCGGATAGGAATCAGTTGCTGGCTGGCGGTCAACGCTGCATGGCAACCAACAATGCAAAGTGCGCAAGCAAACACCACCAAAACTAACAACAACAATCAAAGCCTAAATTACAAATGCATATTATTAAAACACATATAAAATTTTTTGCTTTGTGGCGCAATAATAAATTAAAATTTATAAATATAAAATCAGCAAAATATGCAAACTGACAGCAGCAAAAAGGCAATGTCGACAAATATTCTGCAAATAATGGTTAATTCTGTATTTTTATTTGCATGAATTTGTATGTCTAATAATATATGTATGTATGTACATTAGGGTGGTCTAAAAAAATGCATGTGTTAAAGTAAAGTCGGAATTTTAATGCTCTCACTCCCTAGGATTGTTCTATATTGAAAAAATTATACCGCTTTTTTTTTGAAATCAAAAAATATTTAGAGGTCCTTCAAAGCGCCCAAAATTGTCCATGTACATATTTTATTTGGGGGAAAAGACAGTGTTCGTAGAAATGGTATTAAATTCTTGAAAATCAATATTTTACGATCGGAAAACTATGTTTCCCTTCAGGAGACTGCCCATAATAATACACAATTGTTTTTTATT